GTCGGGCAGCAGGCATTAAGTGGTGGGTCTGTTCATAAGGCAAAGGAAACCGTACAGGAGGGTGTTGTTTTTAATTACCCAGTTTGTAAATGTCAAAAGGAACCTCTAATTTTCTGTGCACCTGTGCAGTCAGGTGGGATTGGAAGCAAAGCTTTAAATCATTGCAAGTAACTTGTTCAATTAATAGAGAGATTGAAATATCTTAATTTGTCATAGCATTTTATCTTTGCACCTTGACATTCATTATGGGTTTTATTCTCACTGTAATTGTGTGCGTGACAAAGATAAAATGAACTAACAATGTGCATGTCTGGTTTTGAATCTGCAGTTTAATTTCTCCTTCTTGATAATTATATTTTTGGGTATTAACATCCCTCTGCTTGTACAGAATATATAAGATAATGGGGAAACCTGAGTCTGATTAAAGGCTGCTGAGCACTGCTGTATTATTTAATGAAACTGGACGTGGTGTTCACTACCTTCCTTGCCTTCATTCCTCTAAAACTCCCATTAGTGATCTCAACATTTGTTTTTTAATGCTAAAAATGGAAAGTCCTGCGGTCCTCTGAACGCAAGGGGAACAAGTGCTTTTGGATTTCAGTTACATTATTCCTTACTGCTAAAGACTGAACAACAGTAGCTATGACAAATACCGTATTAAAATGAAGCACTAAGATCCGTTTTTGCTATTTAAAAGAAGGTACTTTCACTTGCTTCTTGTGTGATAGTGATGAACATTTAGAAAGCTTTGGAATGAATTAAAGCCAGTGAGAGAACTAAGATTCATTAACAAGCCCTACGTAAGCTTCTACTTCAGCCTAGTACTTTAAGTCTTCACAGCAGCGTTGTTTGTGTTGTAACGCTTACCTTATGCAAGTATTTGCATCCAAGTGAACAACTGGGGATTACTTGGTCCGCCGCTCCTTGAACTGCATTTTATGAATGAGCACATCTTTCTTCTGTATACTTGTATGAGGTTGGAGAGTAGAGAACAGCCCACCCGTACTGCTGATACGTGGTTGAAATAGCCATATATCTCACTCATGTATAGTCAGTGGTGTGGTTCACTCACTGTACAAAAGCCTGAGCCATATATAACCAAATAACAGTGGAAGAACCACTGGGAAATTGTCTGGACTGTTGCCTACCAGTAGGCACAGTGTAAACCTGACTGTTTTGTGGAGAAATGTTAGTAGTGATGGGTGTATGTATGTAAAAATAGTCACTTTTCTTGTGGAGAGGTGGAAGACAAGGCTTTTCCTTTTCTTATGTCCTGCAGAGAAAAATGCCCAGCACCATGAGCATGGTGAATTTGGCTTAGCCACCAGTCTGCTTCATCAGAGGTTGGGGATTGCTGAGTTGTTTAGGAGTTGATAGTTTTTTTTGTCAGGCAGCAGTCAGAGATACTGCTCAGTCTGACACTGTCCTTCGTAACAACGTTACAGTAAGGTGGTAGAGAGTGTGGTGCTTGATGCAGTGTTTGATTATATGTTCTGGCATAACATATATTCTAAAATCATCTTTTTAATGTGTTCACCTCTAGTGATTTATAATTGCAGTTGTGAAAAATCTAACCTCTGATTGGAACCACTGCTTGGAAGGGGGCCGTGTGAGGCTTTGTGAGTGCTTATGTTGTGTGCTATTAGGAAAGTCAGGATGATCAGAAGAGCTTCTTTGGAAACCCCAAACTTCAACTAGTTGATAGCCAGCAAAATATTCTTTAAAAAGAAAAACAGTGAAGTAACAAATTTTTTATGTGACGTGATGAAGTTGTAATAAAAAGTGTAAGTGATTTATGCTTAGCCTCCTCTGTGTTTTCAACTTCAAGTGCAAAGAAACAGAAGTAAATTTTTTTTGATAAAGAGAGAAACTGTTGTTTCTAAATTTAATTTTTTTTTAATTGAGGGAACATGGTTTAGAGACAAGTAGAAAATAACAGCCTTGAAGAAAATGTGCATACATAGTAGTTTTCTGTATTTTATTTCTAATGAAATCTGGGAAAAGAAAATGGCTACCTGTATTATGGAATATGACTGTGTGCAATTTTTCTTTGAATCATTCTGTATTGATCTAGCTATTGAATTTTTGAGCCTTTCCAGTGTAGAGTGGAGCAGAGTGAGTAACTTTCGTATGTCACGTTTCAAGTCTAATTATGGGGAAACAGTTGTCTAACGGATTCAGTTGCATCCAATGTAAGAGATGCAGATGACATCCAGTAATTCTGACGTTATAAAAATAAGGAAGAAAGTGGTGTTGTAGAGTACTTCAAATTGCATAAAAGATGGACTGAAAGCAGCCCAAAAATTTGTTCCAGGAAGTCATTAAGCTTGTAAAAATAGCCTTAACTTTTCTAGGTTGCACTTTGAAGCTGCAAACATTGGGCAGCCCGAGGCTGATCAGAGATCTTTCTTGATTTTCAGTCTAGCTAGTAATGTTTGAGGAAAAGATGTCAGATCCTCATTTTTGAATACGTGTGGACTTTGTCTGTTTCCTGTTCTTGTCACTCACCTCTAACTTCTTTCAGCTTAGGCAGTTCTCATCACAAACTTTCACCATCATGTGAAACTCCACTTTCATCATCCACTTTCATGCTGTCGCTTAAGCCTGGAACTTTCTCTTGCTCGCAACAGCAATGCTTCCTTCCCCGGTTCTTTTAAAACCCGTCTTGTGACCACTTCTTCAAAGGACTGCATAGATGTTATTAATAGCATTACATTATCATTTAATCTTCCTTTTTTTTCTTGTTTTTCCCTTTATCTCCTTGTATCTATTTTCATTTTCAGTACCTTTGGAGAAAGGAATGTTGTGGTAATTATGTTGCAAGTCACCTTAACCAGTACAATGCCACACTTCCTCTAAGTGTGAAATCCTACAAGACTGGGGACCATCTGTTGTACTAGCGAGCGTGGCTGATCTTTTGAGCCTATGATTTTTAGTAACAGGCTGCCATGACAAAGGTGTGGGAGAAGGTCAAGTCTGATCACCATGGGAATGTGTGTGCATGCCCACATAGATATGTTCAGTTTAAACCTGCAATCTTTCTCTAAAGTTATATTTTCTTCCCTCCCTGACCCAATTTTTCATTGTTTTTTTCTTGATTAGAATTGCGAGGTATTAAAAAAAGATTAACTTTGGAAGGTTAAATAGAAGCTGATATTAAATGAAGTGGTTTATTTATCATAAAATGAAGACATGCAGGCAATGTGCTTGCTGCTCCACATTGTAAAATGTAGGTACCCTATTCTTCCACTGTAGCACACATCTATAGTACCGTATGATCAGTCTACTCTGTTGGGAAAAAAAAGGATTTAAAATCCTGTGATCAGATGTGCACGGACAAACTACTGATCTAACACTAAGCTCTTTTCGGGGTTGGGGGACACCCTGAGAAGTGCAGATCTCCAGCAGTACAGATATCAGTTGCAGAAACGGGAGGTAAAACATGATGGCAAAAATGAGCCTTTGGCAGAGAAATAAAGACCATGAGTCAGAGTATCGCAGGGTAGCATAAACCTGTTTTTAATGAGACTAACCCTTTGCTGAAACACTGAAGTCAGTGGGTCCCCAAGTAATGCAGTAAAGAGAACCACATAAAGGGAACGAGAAACTGGATTTGTTACAGGGCATTTTAATTTTAAATAAATGTGATACTTTATTCAGCACATTTTTTAGCCTACCAACATCAGAAAACAAGCTGGCCAGCGGATGCGTGGAAATACATGCACTAAATGACTTAATTTCAACTTCCACATCCCAGTTTGTTAGAAGCAGCAATGAACTACTGCTATAGAACAGCTTGTGTTCTTATGCAGAAGGGGAGATGCAAAGTTCTTTTGATGTAGTATATATTCTGTCCCAGACATAAAAGGCAAAATTCCAGCTTCTGATAGGTAATTTTTGGAATTTGTCATACTGTTATGACTCCTACTACCATGGTCTAAATGCTTCATAGTTTTTAATAGTTTTACTTTCAGCATCCCTATGAGTTAGAAAAAAAGAATGGGCCCTTTCTTTTTTCGTTAAATGTATCAAAATCTTACAAGTAGGGAAGGAAGGCTGAAAGAAAATTTTCAAGTGAGCCTGCCTAAGAGATGGCGTTTGGGTCATTAATTTCCTTTGGGTCATTAATTTTCCTTCCATATTCTACTTATCACAGTATTAATTTTGCCACAGGATTTATCAATTTTATCTAAATATTTTTTTCAAAATGTCAGCACAGTATTTTCATTCAAAGTATTTCAGATAACAGAAATAAGGAGCATAATTCAAACATCATACTGAAATTTATTTCTAAAAAATGAAACGTTGCATGGCTCTGGGTAGATGAGTTGGGAAATAGTAAACTAGGTCAGTGTAGTAGAGTTTCTTTGACCTTGGCTGTAGACATATTTTTGTATAGTTTATGTATTTTTGAAAGTATACATTCAAAATAGGAAATGCGCTTGTAAGGCGACATTGAAGCTTAAAGAAACATAATGAAACCCATCCAACTTCAGCGTATCTGGTATATTCTCAAACTCTGCCATGCAAGTTTAAGGCTAGATGTTATAGCTTTCAATGAGAATTCCTTTCATCTAAGTGGGCGATTACCCACATACAGATGATAGAATTTGGCAAAGAATAGTATTCTTGAAGACGGAAAATTCTGTGTTATATATTCACTTTTCCAGAAGTTTGCCAAACTCTTTCAATGATGATCACATTAAAATTGTTCAGGAGTTAAGTTCCTCATCTGATAGCAAAAGCAGACATTAGCACAGGCTGCTTTTTAATATCCATTTTTTTTAATATAGCCAAAGTTGTGACCCTTGTTAACTACAAATATAAGAATATTTTCACGTGAAATAACATGTACCTTTGAACTTAACCAGAAGTCTCTCTGCTGTTTAGTACTTGTTTTTTCATGTGGAGTGGCTGCGACTCATATTACAGTTGGAAGCACATTTTTAAGCATTCTGTCGTATAATGTCTTGGTGCCTCTATTTTCTTTTCACCACTAGAGACTATAAAGACAATATTTCAAGAAAAGGGCATCTTGGCAGGAGAAGACAGAGCTTTTAAACCCCATCTGACCTTCATGAAGCTGTCCAAATCACCAAAGCTACGTAAGCAGGTGAGCTCACATTTCATACTGCTCAGCAGCAATCCAGGAAGTTTAATTTGGAGACAAATGAGTTGCTTATGTTACAGCATCATAGTTTTTACTGCTTTGTAACCAGCTGAAGAGGTAAGACTTTAAAATGCTAATACTTTAGAAAAAATAATTAGTACATGTACTATATAAACACTGTAGTCCTGTGCTTACTGTAGGTTACTACTCTTGATATTCTCAGAACAGTAAAATCATGGTCTATTTTCTTGTATGAAACTATACAAGGCCAAAGGATGAAAGTACTCATTCAAAATTAAGGAATTAATATTAGGATATAAGTTATGTACTCATAAAAGGCAAGGAATTTGTTTGGATAATTTTCTTTTGCTACTGTATGGGAGAAAATGTACAAGCAAATAATAGAATTCATACTTGAATTATGCACAATATGCAGACTGTCGGTTTTCTCTTCATTGAATAAATGCTTTGGTGAATTCCAGAGTAACGATGAAACACATCATCTATATTCTCTTACAGGACATTCTCTCTTGACTACTTACTAGCTTTGTTGACAAGAAAAATACACGAGTACATAGAAATGAGAATGAGAAATATATAAAAATGCTAATATATCTAGGTCCTAATTTCATACTAATTTAACATGTATATTATGTTGTTTAATATATGGTATATCTACATAAAGTGTATTTACTGTCACTGTGTAGAATGCTTAATGTGACCCTCTACAGAAGGTCAGAAAAGTAATTCTTGAAGAAATATCTTTTAAAAAATAATAGTAAATTAAAATACATAATGTAGACATTTCAAATTTAATATTTTTCTCTTAATAACAAATCTTAAGGAAAAATAATTACAAATTACATTGGAAATAACCAAACTTAAAAAGTACTAAAGGTGCAAATGTTAATTAAATAGAATTGTGAAATCAGTTATTGTGAAATTAGTTGGAAGCATACAGTGAGATACATCAGAAAACTCTGAGGGCCTAGCACATACTCACTTTGAAACAGAAATAAGGACTTGTCCACAAGTCGTAGATTATGTCATAGCTCTTAAGATTGTAAGCTCACATAAGTTTTTGATTGTATTAAGTATCAGCTTGCTTTTTAAAATGCTCATTTAAAAAAAGCCACAGCTTTCCTTTTCTTTCTTTTTTTTCTCTTTTTCACATTTATCTGCCTTGCATGAACTATTGGCCAGGATATATGTTTTTTTATGTTCTAGTATTCACTGCTAGTGACAGAACCAGGTCAATGTCATTCCAAGTCATCTTCCTTAGTCCTCCATAATGCTGGAGAACGTGTATAGTATTCTTAAGATACAATATGTAGAAAAAATATGATGTATTAAATAGCTATAAGTAATTTTATTGGGAATATTGCCTGGCCAGTCCCCTATCTGGGGTAAGCATCAGTCTTTACAATCATTTCTTGTTTCATTGTGTTCATGTATATAGTGAGATAGTTTCCTGCATTTACTGAATACGTAATAAATAAAAGCATAAAACAAAAGAAATAACTTTTTTAATAGTACATTTTAACATACTATTTAATTGCATTATCAGATAATACAGCAGTATGAAAAACAAAGCGGGGGATGGCGGAAGATTACACTAGGAAGAGCATATAAAAGAGCAACTAGAACAAAAATATAGTTAACAGCTATAGTTTCATAGCTATACTAACTTTTTAAAAATGTGAGTTTTCTAACTTGAAGCAAGAGTCAGTTAAGCCACCTTCCTCATAATGACATCTAAATTCCACCATAATTTATTTTTGGGGAAAAATGAAAAAAAATGTTCTGGTTTTCAAACCTTAATAAGTGTGTAAGCTTTTTTGAGAGGCATATATGCTGAACAGTTTTTACTTTCTCGAAGTATTACTGATATTTACAGAGAAGTTTTTGAGAATTCAAGATAAATAAAAAAATCTCAAGAGGTCACCTTTCCACTTTGAAGGCATATTAAGCTAAAAATAGAAGAAATGTAAATGCAAAAAACTTGGACAGTAATTAATAAAGGATAAAAATTTGAGAAAATGTGAGTGGGAAAGCTGTCTATGAGTTATTGTTTCCCCTTCAGGTTCTCAGGTTAGAGAAAGAACTTGAATTGCTCAGAAGTAGGAGCAGCTCATTCTTCCTGTTCATTTGAGATCAAAAGCATTTAGTGAAAACATCTCCAAAATTAGAAGGTACAGTTTACCAGTAGATATCCTTATGGAAGGAGATTAAAGTGAGATAGCTTCCTTGCACAAGCTCAGCCTTTTCCACAGTCTATTGTTGGAATAATAAGAATCTTGGTTTGGTATCATGTCTTCTATGCAAAGAACATAGTTAAAGTAGTAATTTTTTTTGCACTTGAAGATAGTATTTCTATTCCTGCTCCCCTCACTATGTTGCTACATGACTGTAGGTCAGTTACAACCCCTCCGCTTTTCATTCATCCAGGCTATATCTTTTTCAGGGAGTGTTGCAAAGCGTACTTGAAAAATGCTGTATGACATTTTGAGATTCTTTGATACATAGCGCTGACAGAACTGCAAATACTATGAAATGGATTTCATAAATAGAAGACGACTGACAGTTGAATTGCTCTGATGGCTTCTACTTAATTAATAAGCCATATATCCTTAGGCCAGGCAGAGATTGACAAGGAAATATGCCAAAAATATCATTTATGGATATTTAATATATTATATTCTTCTATAGAGTATACCTGTAGAATGCTGTGTATATAATGAGTAAATGAGAATATATAAGTAAGAATCTGTTTGTAATTGCAACACTTACAAGTGTTGTACAAGGCCTGATTCACTGTTACCTTTCAACTGCAATGGTATTATTGTCAAGACCTTGGATATTATTATGCAGATAGTATTATTATAATTTAACTGGAAGTAGCAGTAATTGTGTGATTCAGTGATTTATTATTATATTTTTATGTAAATTGTGTTAAACTTTTGTCGCTCTTCCAGTTTCATATCAAGATAGCATGAGTTACTTATTTTGTAGTATTATAGCACATCATAAAGCAGAAAATTCTACACTGAATCAGAATCAAAGCTCTGTCAGAATAAAAATCTTTTTGATGTGCAGTCAGTCATATTCATCTTCTTACCACCATCCACTAGGCATACCAAGCAGATAAGATTTTTAGTGTTGATAATAGTGAAGTTAATTACTTTTTTCCTGTATAAATTTTCTCTCACATTAATATATTTGGCTTCTTGAAATCAAATGCAGCCCAAGGAAAATGTAGCTCATGTCTTTTATTAGACATTCAACAAGCGGTTATAGGAAGTTTTGACAGTCAGACAGTAAGTTAGCCATCTGATGTCTGTTCTGTCTTGTTTAGACATGAAAGTTCAGGCAGTTAACCCATTGCAGGAAGGGTTGTTAGTTCTGTGTTAATTATATATGTGTATGTGCTCTTGCTGCATCGTAAATTTATTTGTGAATATTTGTTGCATGCTCGTTCATTGAATGCTGTTTTGAATAAAGATCCTTTGCACTGGCAGGAGAAGTTGCAATGGAATCCTTGCCTTCTGGTATTATTCCTTTAACCCCATCAATTTCTATCTTACATCCCTTGTATAGTTCTCAAGTTTCCTAGACTTGTAATTTTGTTTTTTTATGTATACTTATATGGTATAGATATGTAGTCTTCTCATACAGAACATGCATAATGGGAAGAGAGTGATTCCCCTCAGTAAAACCAAAGCACTTCCTCTTTTTATCAGTCCCATCTGATTGAAAAGAATGACTGCCAACATTCTTTTTATAATAATTCTTGGTGTCTCTGCCATTTTGAACAGAAATGCACGTATAAGAAAAGCCACAGAGATCATTGAACCTCTCTGTATTTCCATTTATCAGCCTCTACTTCACTGGTTTGTATTGTGACAACTGTTACTTGCTGATTTGGGAGGTGGCGGCACATGCTTATTTAGAATTTTTTGATGCTGATCCTAAAATGGCTGAAACAATCACTTTGGGGATAAAAACAAAAAACACTTCAGTTTCACAGTCTCATAAGAACAGTTTTGTGATTTTTTTTTTTTTTTTGATCTTAGGATCTAAACAGTAAGCAGGGGCATAAACTGGTTTCAGGTGATCCAGCAACTGGAAGAGAATAAAAGATCTTTGAGTTTCAGCCTTCCTGCTTTGGTAGCACTTAATAAAATGCCATATCTTGCCATATCTTAAACATGTATAGCTATAGTACTTGTTTTAAACAAGAAAAAGAAAGGACATATACTACAAGCATTTTTTTTTTACAGGCTAAATGTGTTGTGAGGTGTTAGTCATAGTGATTATTCTTATAAGATACCAAACTCTCCTACCGAACATGGTAGATACCATGTAATCCATGCTCATATGCATACCTCTGTTACAGAACTGAGGTGGCAGAAGGCAGCACCTCTTTACGTATGAAGTCTTCTAAGTCCACATGGGGATCATCAAGGTCTAAGCAAATAAACTTTTCCACAAGAGCCTTGCATCTTTTCATCTGTTCCCCTTTTGAAGGATGATCAATACGTTCGATAGCTTTTCCACTGCGAATCAGTTCTGATACTTCCACTCCTCTTTCAATAATTTTGGCTGGCATTCCAGCTAAGGCAGCAATGTTGGCAGCGTGACTAACTGTAGATATGCCCTGTTTGACCTGATAGAAAAAAATCAACTCATTTCCATCTTGGTGGGTCTCCATGGTCAAGTACTGCAGAAGAGGTGTGTCTGGTAGGAGTTCTAGCTGCATTAAACTGTGAAAATTAGTGGAGACAAAGACCTGTGGACACCGGGTTCCTTGACTGATCCAGTACCTCAGTACAGCAGCTAGAAGGGAGAGGCCATCCATTGTGTTGGTTCCTTTGCCAAACTCATCAATAAGTACCAAGGACCTTTCTGTAGCATTGTTTACTGCCTTGGCAACCTGATTGAGATCAATCATGAAAGTGGAGAGCCCTACAGAAACTGATTCCCTACTGTGGATTCTGGTGTAAATCCCATCAATTGCTCCAATCTCAGCCTCTGCTGCAGGGACATAACTGCCAATTAGAGCCATGAATATTATAAGACCTACTTGCTTTAAGTAGACGCTCTTTCCAGATGAGTTAGGCCCTGTGATGATCTTTATTCGTCCAGTAGCCTCGCCACTGTTCACAGGATTGGACACAAAAGTCTTTGCACATAGTTCCATAAGTGGATGCCTTCCATCCTTGATGTGGAAGCCATGGCGGCGAGTAAAGTGTGGCCGGCAGTAGGCATTCTCCCGGGCCATCACTGCCAAAGCTAGTAGTACATCTAGGTGTGCTGTGTACTCAATTACACTGTTAAGCACTTCAGACTTCTCCAGGATCTTTGTCTGTAGCTGGTGCATGATAAGTGTTTCCTGGTCCCTTATTTCGCAGTGCAAGTCACCCAGCATGCTGTCTAGTTCCTTAGTCCTAGCACTTCTGTAGTGCAGTTTATCCTCTGACAAGAACATGAAGTCCAAGCCTTCAATTTCAAAGTCATTCTTATCCACCATAGTTGGTAGCCGTGGAATGGAGAGAAGAAACCCAATCAAAGGAATGTAGATCACACAACAGGAAGGAATATGGTTGTCTAAGGTCTCCAGTTCTTTCCGGGCCACTTCTGTAAGGAAGTCTGACAGCCCCATTAGCTTTCGTTTCTTTTCATCAATGGTGGGATCCACATTCGGTCTAACAGTGAAGCGATTCTCTGAGATGCTGCCTTCAAAGTCCACCACTTTGCTGATTAGACTGGCAATGTAGTGCAGATCATCGGTGAACGCGTGTGATATAGTCTGAAAGAGTTCAATAGTGCTGGGTAGAGAACGACACGTGTCTCTGAGGCACACAGCACTGTACACTGTCTTATAGAGTGCTTGCCAGTCACTAACTCTTGTGTGGGAAAGAGTCATTCTTTTTAGAATAAGAGGCACATTTTTTATATTCTTGAGACAATCTTGAAGGGTGAGAACAGTTTCATGGTTCTGAGCCAGTAGGAAGAAGTGGATAACATCTAGCCGTTTGTTCAGCTCTATCAAGTTCTGAGTAGGTCGTGTAAGCCACAGCCTCAGCAGTTTTTCTCCCCATTTGCACCTGCAACGGTTTAAAATCCCATATAAACTGAATCCTTCTTTTAATCCACTTGACAGCTTGTACACAGAAGGATGGATATCACTTTTAAATATCTGCAGGACACAGTAAGTGTCTTGGTCCATATTCACAATATCTGACAGCACAAATTTTTTAAAGGCCAAAATAGGAACTGCAACAGTGTTTTCTTCTAGCTCAACTCCAACCCGTCTCCTGTCGAGGAACTTCAGGAGTCCCCCTAGTGCTCGTATCATGAGTGGGCTCTCAAAAGGAATGATTGAGGACAAGTAGAGAATTTTCTCTGTTGCGGTCATATGAGTTGGGATAAATGGAAATTGCCTGGATAGGATCCGTTGCTTGCTGACTTCTAGGCCAAAATCTATGTTAGGAAACAGGACAATTTCTGGTTTTCTTGTATCTTTATCATCAGCCGTATCCCTTAGGTTGGTCAGGAATTTGGCAATGTTCTGGTCCTGTTTTGCACTGGTCACTATGCATTGAGGAAGAACTTCCCCAATCGCTTTCTGCAGTAGTTTGAGGTCTTCGTTATCAGGTGTGTCAGGCATGAAGTAAACCGAGCAATCTTCTGTGTCATAGTAAGTGATTGCAAGCTGCCCTGCAAACCACAGAACAGACATATATGCCTCAGAACGCTCTTGATCCTCTTCTTGTTCAGGCACAAGCAGTGGTGGCAGGAGACAACTGGTGGCTGATGTGGCACTCATTCTGTTGGAGAAGGATATTTTTGTTCACAGCTCATCGAGAAATTCCTGAGAACAGGACTTTAATTAATAACAGCAGGTTAACACTTTTTCTTCTAACCCTGGAGAAACTAAGGTGCTGCTAGGAATTAAAGGTGGTTGGATGTTACCAGTTCAAGTGAAGATGCAGCCAAAACTACAGCAGTATCTTGCTTCCAAGCAAACTGTAACCGAGCTAACTACCAGCAACTTTGGGATAGTTGCATAGGGTTCTTATGTATCCTATATTTTTGTAAGTAGTGTCTTACCCTTCAAACCCTTCCCAAGGCTCTTGAATCCTTCTGTTAAACACTTGGTGTTGCAACCCATAGTGTGAGAAACATAAAACCACCTTTTGGTGCTGAGCTGAAAGTTCAACCATAATAGGTCCTGTCTGTCTTTAGGTTGCATGGATTGTCATTACTCTAGTCTCATATCTAATATCTAATCCGAACTGGTATCTAATATCATGCTGCAATTGTAGTAGGCTATGGAAACAACACTGTAAAGGTAAAAATTCACTGTGTCAGCCTTCTGCTGATGATTAAGGGATTGGAGCATTTAACATCTGAGAAACTGGCAGAACTGGGATTGTTTAGCCTGAGGAAGAAAAGGCTCAGAGGCGATCTTGTCATTGTGTGTAAATACCTGATGGAGGGGAGTAAAGAGAGAGCCAGACTCTTTTCTCAGTGGTACCCAGTGAAAGGGAATGAGGCAAGGGACGCAAATTGAAACACAGGAAATTCCACTTACATATAAGAAAAGGCTTTTTTACTGGAAGGGTACCAAACACTGGATACATGTTGCCCAGAGACGTTGTGGAGTCTCCATCCTTGGAGTTACTCAAGCCTGACTGGACACAGCCCTGAGCAACCTGCTCGTGCGAGCTGGAAGGTTGGGCTGGACAATCTCCAGAGGTCCCTGCCAACCTCGACAGCTCTGCAATTCTTAGCTGTCGTTCAGAGAAGTGTGCTCCAGCTTCACTGGGTGTATGCCCAAACACTCATGAATACAATAGTGTACATGCACATACATACATGTGCATACAAAATCATCCTTCCTCAGAGGAATGGGATATCGACATGCATCAACCGCAGCTGCTCACAAAGGTGCAGCAGCATAAACTGGTTGTCCATTCAGTGTCTTAGCCCTGTATATATGCAGCACCTCTACATAATACCAGTTTCTATAAAAATACACAAAATACTGTTTCAGGGATCAACCAAAATCGCCCTCACACACCCTGCTGCTTCCTACCCTCCTCCCATTTCTTCCTCCCTTCCACTCACCCTCCTCGCTCACAGACTGGGCAGCTCTTCTCAGCTGCTGATGCTGCCAGCAGGCCAAAAGTTTATCTCGCCCTCCTGTCTTCCTTTCCTTCTGCCGGTTGCTTAGTAGTCCTATTAGCAATAGCAGTTGCTATTCAGCTCCTCACCTGGGCGAGATCCTGTCACGCCAGCGCCGCCTTCGGCCCCCGTTGGCC